CGTCGGTCGGTCTGCTGCTGTGCTCAGTGGGGTTTGTCGTTGCAACTATAGTCTCGGAAGTTTCGTCGCTTTCACACGAGATGGCCCTGATTAGGAAGGCGAGTATGAATGTTGCCACGAGTTTCGCGACCTGGTGCTTCATCGCCAAGTCAGCAAATCGGGAAATGACCTCTGTATCGTAGGCTATGGAGACTGTAGTGCGGAGTCCTACTACGGGCAGGTTTCTAAACTGGATGCAGCAGTTGGTGGACCACGCTGGCCCGGCAAAGTAGCACTGTCGGTGGTACCTGGACGAACATATCACAAAAAGAACTTTTTCTGCGGTTGGTGAATGAAGTACAATCAAACAAGATGCCGTGATAGTACTACAGTACTAATGATAACCTTTACTTCTCTTCTTTACCTAGAGGAGAAAGATTTACTGAATAAAGTGGATAACCAAACTCCAAAGTTAAACGTGCCTCTCCAATTGCTTCCTGTAGTCGACGAGTTGAGTTCTTGCTCGCCACTGCTGGTCGCATCGCTAATTTCTTGACGACTTGAATCAAGGGAAACACCAGACGTAGAGTCTTGGAGAGATGACTGTGGTGCCGGTGTGGATGAGTCACTTCCTGGCGACGTTGTTGTGGGATTTTCAGCTGGAGTCAAATCACTACTGGCATCGGAAGATGTTGACTCTGTGGTATTTGTCGCTGGATTGGCCACACCTCCTATCGCCGACTGAAAAGTTGATACTGGCGTGTCTGGTGTAGCTGGCGTTCTTGGTGCAGAGCTTTCGGAGGTCGAAGTGCTACTTGTACTGCTGGGATCACTGGGGAACGAATTCGGGGCCCCAGACGATGTCGGCGAGTTGTCATTGTTTGGAGTGAATTCCGTTGATACTGGGGGTGGTGGAGGTGGGGTTGCAGGAACTGCGGGGCTGTTGGTATCACCTGTGGCCAAGTGAAAAGTGGACTCTGGCGTTTGCACAGGAGGAGTAGCGGGCGTATTGGCAGTGGTTCCTGTTGCGTCTGCGACGGATGTTGGAGCATCTGTGACTTGCGGATTCGACGAAGGTGTAGTTGCATCGGT